TGAGGGACAATATTTAAGGAGGAGGAAACGACGACTCGGTCACATTATGCACAGAGGTGCTGCGCTATCTGATCTGTCCTCAACCCCCCCCTCCAGCCTAGAGGCTCCTCTCCTGCTCCTCAAAGGAGCGTGTAGCTGGTTCGCCGCATGTGCTACGGCTGGAATATCCAGACTGGGTCTGCCGGGCTGAGGGCAATGTCTCCTCTTTGTTTTTTATTTTAATATCCAAATAAAAATGCGCCATGACTTTGAACTTTTAGGTGTGGAGCTGCCGGATCCGAACAAAGAGTTGCCGGAACAGAACGGGTCAAAATGAGTTTCCAGATCTTGATCCGGGTCAGATTAACCACTGACCTTTTTTTTTTTAACTAGGATTTATCAAAAAGGAAAGTCTTGAGCCTAGTTTTAAAACTGGACAATGTGTCAGCCTCACGGACAGAAACTGGAAGTTGGTTCCACAAGAGAGGAGCCTGATAACTGAAAGATGTTCCTCCAATTCTGCTTTTGGAAACTCTAGGAACCACAAGTAAACCTGCAGTCTGAGAGCGAAGTGCTCTGGTTAGGAAAATATGGAACAATAAGATCTGTAATATAAGATGGAGCTAGGTTGTTGAGAGCTTTGTAGGTTAGAAGTAAGATTTTGAATTCTATTCTGGATTTGACAGGGAGCCAATGGAGAGAAGCTAAAACTGGAGAAAAATGATCTCTCCCACTAACTCCCATTAAGACTGGCAGCAACATTTTTAATTAATTGAAGACTTTTAAAGAAGTCCCAACCCAGATAACAAACATTGCAATAGTCCAGTCTAGATGTGACAAATGCATTAACCAGTTTTTCTGCATCATTTTTAGGTAGGATGTTGCTAATTTTAGTGATATTACGCAGGTGGAAGAAGGTTCTAGTAACTTTTTTTTTAATGTGGGGGATAAAAGACATGTCCTGATCAAAAATGACACAAAGATTTTTAACATTAGAACTTGAAGATGGATTAATGCCATCCAAGGAGGGAGAGACTGAAAAATGTATTCCTAAGATGCTCGGGTCCACAAATCCAAACCAGTCTCGTCCGAGTTTAAAAGCAGAAAATTTAAGGGTCATCCAGGTTTTTGTGTCTTTAAGACATGCTTGTAGTCTAAGTAGCTGATTTTTATTCATTGGGTTTCATGGACAAATATAACTGTATATCATCAGCATAACAATAAATTTATCCCTTGCTGTTTAACTTATCTAATGGAAATATAAGGTAAAGAGCATTGGTCCAAGCACTGAACACTGAAGAACTCCATGACTAACTTTGAGTAGGAAGATTATTTTTATTTACAAATTGGAATCTTGGATAATACGATTTTAAACAAATTTGGTATGGTATAAAGTTTATTCATTAAAAAAAAAAAAAAAAACCCGATTCCATAAAGTGTATATAAAAAAATACAAGATTTAAAATGAAAGGCAGCAGAAAGAAGACAAAATCTTATCTGCCCCCCCCCCTTTTTTTTTTTTTTTT